TGCGGAATCAGAATCAACGTTGAGTTTAAGCAAGCGAATGAGCCAATTGGAGTAAAGTGTCATGCAGATTTAAATTTTTCCCACTTGTGACGAATGCAGCTATCGATTTTTTTGCATGCTAGTTAACATTCGTGTCAGTCAGCTGTTGGCTCTCACGCTGGCCAATAGAATCTTCCTGCCGATTCGAGGAAGCCAGCTATAGGCTCTCAGTCTGTCCAGTAGAAAATGGCCGCAAACTACATGAAAACTGCAGTAGAAGCATGAAAAAAATCGACTATTTTCACTATCGATGTGAGTTGGGAAATGCAAAGTCGGTCTTGGTCTTCCCGTTAACTTGGAGCATGTGCATGTAAATTTTGGTGCAAATCCGTCGAAAATTGCGGCCGTGCATGCACACAGACACACACACACACACACACACACACACACACACACACACACACACACACACACACACACACATATCCTGCCTTTTATATATAGAGATTTTAGTTATAAGAAAACTGCCTCCTCGCCAATGGCCCTCTGTACAGTTGCCCTGTAAAATTTGCCCTTTGGAAAATTGCCCCCAAATGAATAAAAGCACTCCTGAACAATTGCCCCCATAGGACAATTGCTCTGACGATGTAAAGGGCATTTTTTTTAAAGTTTTTTTTTACTTCAATAAAAAAAGATACATCTAAAAGCAATTTTCAAGTTTATGGGATTATCCTGACTTGACCTGACCTGTCAAACTGGCAGATTTGGGGAGTAGCAATAGGCCAACTCTTTCTTTTTATGTGCCATGTCCTTTCAGGACGTAGGCGTTCATGGCTCTCCACCTCCCTCTATTCCTTGCTGTCAGCAAATTCCTTCCCTCTGTTTCCTTCCCCAGACCACGTTCTGTCATCCACCAGCTCTAGCCGGCCATGTATGTCACGCGTTGTTTTCACTTGTCTCTCTTTCCCTCTATTCGACCCGTGGGTATCAGATTCTCCAAGCCCTCCTTTCTCATTATCTATCCCAGAAGCTTCAGCTGTCTCTTTCTGATGTCAAGTATAAGCTCTGTTTGCAACCTCTCTAAGATCTCATCGTTGCTAACTCGCTCGGTCCATGATATCCTCAGCATCCTTCTGTAGAAGCACCTCGCCGCCTCGAGTCTCTTCCTCTTTCATCTCTGAGGAAATCGTCCAACATTTGTTGCCTTAAAGAAGAACAGATGTCACGTAACAGCTCAGCATTCTTTTCCTTGTTGCCAAAGAAATCTCGCAATACTCTACCAAGCTTTTGGAATACGTCCTTGGCCATCCCCAAATTCAGTGTTTGAACTGATCTCATTGCATCTACATCTCTCCGACTATATATAAAAAAAATTATATCAACCCATCATGAAATTTGTCCGTAGTGACCGTAATAATATAATGCTTATTTATGATGGCGATATCTTTGTGAAGAAGAAAGAACTGGAAATATTTGTCTATATTTCTGAGATGTGGTATTATGTACATTATTTACATTATTCGGACTATTGTCCTCATATTTGTTGCCATATTTATTACAACGTTTCGGCCCTTCAGTATCTGTCTATATTTCTGAGATGAGGTATTATGTACACTATTTACATTATTCGGACTATTGTCCTCATCTTTGTCGCCATATTTATTACGTTTCCGCTTTTCAGTATCTGTCTATATTTCTGAGATGAGGTATTATGTACACTATTTACATTATTCGGATTATTGTCCTCATCTTTGTCGCCATATTTATTACAACGTTTCGGCCCTTCAGTATCTGTCTATATTTCTGAGATGAGGTATTATGTACACTATTTACATTATTCGGACTATTGTCCTCATCTTTGTCGCCATATTTATTACAACGTTTCCGCTTTTCAGTATCTGTCTATATTTCTGAGATGAGGTATTATGTACACTATTTACATTATTCGAACTATTGTCCTCATCTTTGTCGCCATATTTATTACAACGTTTCCGCTTTTCAGTATCTGTCTATATTTCTGAGATGAGTTATTATGTACACTATTTACATTATTCGGACTATTGTCCTTATCTTTGTCGCCATATTTATTACAATGTTTCGGCCCTTCAGTATCTGTATATATATTTCTGAGGTGAGGTATTATGTACACTATTTACATCATTCGGACTATTGTCCTCATCTTTGTCGCCATATTTATTACACCGTTTCGGCCGTTGTATGCTCTGGACTTCTTTGGGTGGTTGGAATGTCGAACTGAATACTTCATTTCGCTTCCTGGGATAGACTGTTCTAGTTACACGTGCTATGTCAAGGGATGTCAGTTATCAGTTATCTCTTGTTAATTCCCCTCTCCAAGTTCTACACAGCCTGAACCAGGTATTGAACTCACACTCTTTGGGTATTGGCACTGGATCTAACTAACGCCTTTATCCACTGTGTCATGTGTCCTTGACAGTCTACCCCAGTGAGCAAAATAAAGGGTTCAGTTCGATATTCCAACCACCTGAAGAAGGCCGGAGCG